CATATATACTACCACGTAGATATACACACATGGATTAAAAAGGTTTAAGGAAAAAAAAAAAAAAAAAGAATCGAGTGGGCGAACATATTTTTAACATCGTCATCTTTAACGTTTTTTGTTTTCTTTTTCGATAAGCCAAATGTCGTGAAAATTTGTAGCCATGTACCCTACATGCTATAGAACTCACTAAAAAATAAAAAAATAAAAAATAGGTCCCAAAATGATTTTGGGTGGGAAGTGAACTTTAAGAAGTTTCACCGTATCACGTTCGGTCGGACCCCCGAAGGTTCAGGTGAGTAGCCCTTAATGAAAGTATATTAAATGAAGATGAAATACTCACAGACATCACCAAAAATTATGTCAATCCGAATTCGTACGAAATATATTCCAACATGTATCTTTTACACCCTTCATTAAAAAATAAAAAAATTGAATAAAATAAAATACAATGTTAAGAACAACTACCACAAACTTAAGTAAAATCAAAATAATTAAGGATTTAATCAAACAATACAATGTCAAACTTCATTCGTTTGCCAACAATCTAAAAATAACAACATATCTAAAAATATCAATGAATGGTTATATATAACTTATTTTTATATAACATTTTCGTTTGCTCTATCCAATCTAAAAAAGCATATTCCGTAACTTCACATTCAATACTTCATACCCTATTTTTACCAATTACCGAAAACATCGATAAAAGTTATGGTGATGAAAACATTAGTCTAATTCCACATTGATTTTGATTCATGTTTATACATTACTTTATATAACAACTGTTGACTTAATGATATATCAATAAAAAAAGTTATGTTTAATTACTAAGGGATAAAGCCACAACTGTTTTTATTGCAAATACGTTTGCAAATAATGAAGATATAATTAAAAATGGTTACCTTTGTGTTGATAAAAAAATAAGCAGAATAAATATATTTTAATCATTCACGATACTTCTCTATTCTTGTAAACATAAACACGCTATATTTATTACTATCATAGTATTTCCGCTACTAATACAATAGTCTTCCTTAACACCAAATGGTGATTATCTACAAAAACAAAACGTGTACACGTACTGCAAAATGCATTGATAACAATCATAAGAGGATTACAACAAACTAATTCACAAAATTGTGAAATTTTCATTCTCGTTATGTTTCAACATCTCATGCTACCAAACCCACTTTCACATATTAATGACTTATTCCAAATAGACATACCGACGATGATATCGTTGTATAGGACATTCATACATAACAAACTTTTTCTTTGTACCCTCAATAAAATTTCACCACATCAGCACACCACCACAACCTATCCACCACCACATATGAAACACACTCAACTAATGAGTTTTACATAAATCCATTAAAAAAAAGTCAATGAAATTCATCACATCCACACACCACTACAATCGATATACCACAACTACTTTGTACTCAAGTAATAATTTGTAACTAAATTCATTGGGAAAAAAATCATAAAAAAAAAAACACTTAAACTCAACTATGGGAAACCCAAACCCAAATGCTACCAACCTCAACCACTCAAGTTCAGCAGTGTGAAGGATAAGACTGGACGTCTCAACACCATCTATAAACAAAGGAATGTCAGACTTGTCATTTTACTTCAAATGCCTAATATGCCCCATGACACAGTTTCTCACACCAATCTCAAAAATAGACTTCAACAACTTATAACTTTGTAATAAATCATTACATTATGCCCCTCACACTCCTTCCCCCCCAAAAAAATCTCCCTACTTGCTTATTGAAATACTGTCACGTCCAAAACAATATGTCAAATATGTCCAAAGACTAATACCATACAACCCCCCACTTCAAAATGCCTATTATGCCCCACAATACAACCTCTCAATCCAACCCCAAAATTAAACCCTTCAAATCATAACTTCCTCTTCCCAAATGAAATCCACAAAACAAATGCAAAACCACTTTCAAACACGCAACACAAACTACAGGTTGTGCACGATGCCCTTGCAATAAGTCGATATATTGAATATGACGAAACATAAATACAGCATAATCAATCCCTTGCCTTTCCCTAATCGCATCAACAGACAAACTACAGGCTGCGCACCTGTGCCCTCATGGTAAGTCAATTCAGGGCTGGGCCGAGTGCCACCCCACAACATGGGACAATTGAATTTTCTGCTGGCCCTAGGACGCCTGGTCGGGAGCGAAATTTTAGGAGAGCCTTGATCAGATTCTCAACTTGGCTGGGGCCACGTACTGGCGGTTTCGGGCTGCGAATAGGGTCCCTAAAGCGGTGACCAGGTTCCCCTCCTGCACTACCCATTATTGTCCTCGACTCTGGGAGGTCAGGTTCTCTGGCTGAAAATAGCACCAGTCAAGTGTGCTCCTTCATCGAAGCTGGTGGCATGTTGACTATTTGCTTGACTATCGATCACATAGACAACGGTGTGCTTAGTAGCCAGTCTATGCGTGGGCTGTTTCTACCGTAGGAGCAATGCGTGTATACACGTACCAGTCTGTGTGGGTGGAAGTATGAACACATACACACGTACCACTCTGTGTGGGTGAAAGTATGTACACATACACACGTAACGTTGACTCTTGATGAACAGCTCAAGAGCTGGCGGTCACTTCCTCCTAAGGTCTGGCGTGGGTGTATTACCGTTCGATTGCCCGTCGTATAGAATCGCACGGCTGTGCCTTGGGTTTCCAGTTGGGTTTGCCGCTCGTATGATGTTACGACGAACGCGAAGGCGGGGATGCGGCGGAAATTGTACAGCGGGAAGGGAAATTGTGGAGGGTAAAATGCAATAATGTGCATGGGCTGATGAAGTGATGGCGGGTTGGAGGCGAGGGAGCGGCCGAAATTCTATACAGTAGAATGCAATAATGTGCCTTGTCTGATGATGAAGTGATGGCGGGCTGAAGTAGGAGCCGACGAAGCGCGGGGTAGCATTCGCGCTTCTCGCGCTTCTCGCGCTTCTCAATTGGCAACTTGCTGTGGGTGGTTGGCGGGAAGACGGGAGGTTACGTGTTTTGAAGAAAAGCGGGGAGGGTTGGGGGAAAGAGCGGCGCGTCCCGTGGGGGGGTGGCGGGGTGGCGCCGCGAAAACTAAGTAGTCGTTCAAAAGGAGGCGGGATACGCGGGGCGGAGGAGGAGGAAATTGAGGGGCATAGGGAGGACTGGCGCCCTCGAGGACGCCGCGGCGTACGCGGACGTCCTTTGAAGGGCGGGAATTTGACCATTCTGCTCTGCCATCCATCTTCTTTCTCTTCTTTTGTTTGCCACCTCTCGCTCCCAGCCTCCCTTCGTCGTCGCACTTGATTTTTCACGATGTGGTCCCCGCGCGGGAAGGGCTTCCCCAGGGATCGAGTCATCTACCGCGATGCCACGCATGCCGGGAGCTGGTACACCGATAATCGTACGTGTGTCTAGTCGGTCTCTAATCGCCAGCTCCTTACCTACCCATCTCCCTGATTGCCTGGACCACGCCGATCATCTCTCTCTCTCTCTCTCTCTCTCTCTCTCTCTCTCTCTCTCTCTCTCTCTGTCTTGGTCAGTTTGTGTGTCCCCGACCCCTCTCCTCATTCTCTTGTGTTCTCTTCATCTCCCTGTGGCTCCTTTCCGTCCCCCTCGCGGTTGACATCCACTTTCACTCGTCTGAAGCCTCTGCTTGCGGCCTTCGTCTCTGTGTCATTATCGTTTTTGTCCTCCTCCATGCCGTCGATCAATACGTCAGAGCGGTCTTTGTCTGCAAATCATGCCAGCGTGGCAGCAGTGCCACGTCATCTTTGTGCTTACGGATTGGAATCGGATTGCTTCACTTTGCCTCTTCTTCAGTATGTCTCCTCACGGTCGCAGTCTGCGCCCACCGTCAGGCTACACCTTGCTACATTCGATCGATAACGTCCGTCTGTCTACCAATTAATCAATCGTTCAATCATTCAAGCAATCAACCAATCAATCAACCAATCAATCAACCAAGTGATTAATTAGTAATTCGAACCGGTTCACTATTCAACTGAATGAACGATTACCGAGCCATTTCTTTCAAACCGATGACCTAGATAGAAAGCGCAGTCAGTCATCCATCTTCTTGGAGGGTGCGACACATCTCTCTCTCCTGTGCGACGTGCGTGTGACGCCTGTGACCATCGAAAGGGGCTCACAACGGATCTACATGTACTCCTGTTGTCTGCGGAAGGGTGGGGGACAAGAAAAACACAAAAGGGCTTTTAGAGGGGAAATCGTTCGGGGGAGAAAAACGCTAAAGAAGGAGGAGGAACAGGGGCACACACCCGTATAGTTGTAATCTTACATGGATATCATCCTTAGTATAGACCATGAAAATAGCATGACCCTCTGTCGTGACTTGCGCGCCGGATCCACCTATGAAGGATATCCTACATCAACGGTGCAAATGAGACGTTATGGTATCATTTTGTGCATTTTATCAGAAGTAATATATCTATATATCTACAATATATAGAATGTTTGACATCCTGGTTGGTCTTGTCCCGTCGTTTGGCCTGTGTGTGTTTGGGCGGTGCTTGCATGTGGGACTTGTCATCTGGGATCTGTTTTGTTGCCCCCTGTTCTGTATTATTTGGCTGTTCCCTTCCTCTATTCTTTGCCATTTTGCCTTTTGGCTGTGTGCAAGTGGGTCGATATGACACACGGGGGTGGGGGCAGCCGCCGCTCAACCTACATCCACGTGGGCGGCCTTGTCTCAAGAGGTATTGAACAGGGGGACTTGTAAGGAAGGAGATTAAAAACGAATTCAGTTTTTTTTGTTTTTCTTGTTTGTATTTCGCTTTGGCGCTCTGATATCATGTCGTCACATGAATATCAGAGCGCAAAGGCGAAAAAACAGAAGAAAACAAGGAAAAAATAATTCGTTTTTTTATCTTCTTTCTTACAACTCCCCCTGTTCAGAACCACTTGTGTACAAGGCCGCCCACGTATCTATATATATCTATGTGTCGTCAAACAGAGCTGCCCGGTAAACCGTAGTAGGCAGAGAGGGAGGGAGGGGGAGAAGAGGACAACAAACGAGGGAGGGGCTGTGACAAACTGTCTCGTCGGAATTGTTGCACCGAGACTCATCAGGAGGCTGAACCGCCGTGAGATATCAGCATTGAACTGACCGCCCCCCTAGGTAATTCAGAAGTGCATTATTTTGTTATTCTGGCTGGATCTGGATTCGAACTTGGGTCTGATTCTTATTTCAACAGTTCATGGGTTTATAAAAACACTGAGCTACTAGGCAGGCCCGTTGGTAGAAGTGATGTTTTTGGTATCTTTGTATTGGGCTTTCTTTCATTTAAAGTCTTATTTATGCCTATCGCAGAAATATGTATATAGTATGAAATGGCCCCAATACAGTTTGCGGAGTCTCGGCGATTAGTAGTATCATTCACATCCTGGAAATCTTGCCCCAGTCCTTGTCCTCCATCTTGCGACCATCATAGACCGTCATCTCGTGCTACGTGTAGGGCGCTCTCTGTTCTTTTTTTTTTCCTTTTTTTGTGATAATTTCTAAATTCTTCATAAGCGAACACTGCCTTATTTAATTGATCTGTTGATTTAAAAAATCGACCATCATAGACCGTCATCTCTTGCTACGTGTAGGGCACTCTCTGTTCTTTTTTTTCCCCTTTTTTTGTGATAATTTCTAAATTCTTCGTAAGCGAACACTGCCTTATTTAATTGATCTGTTGATTAAAAAAATAGCAATTAAAAAAATAAGTTGATTTGGTGCCAGTCACGATATCATCCGCGCATGCGCTCCTCATGTCCCAAGTCCATCGTCGTCATTCATCACCACCTCGATCGACGGTCACCATGGCCTGTCTTTCTCTCGTCCTCTGCCTCCAGCAGCAGGCGATGGCGGTGAGCTGGTCCGTTGTTGTCTGGAAAATTCAGTAATTCGAGATTTGAGAAGGGAAGTCGGGAAAGTTGGGAAGATGTCCTGGACATGAAGAACGGCTTTTCTTGTTTTTTTTTTTTTTTTTTTTTTGCGTTTTGTCTTTTCTATGATGTGTTTTGTTTTTGCGAATTCCCTTCCTTTCTTTGGCTTCGCGTGAGGAAGTTGTTGAATGACTCGAACGGGCCTGTTTGCGATGGGTCTTCTTGCCCTTGTCTGTCCACTACCGATCCTCTTCCCTCCTCCTCCTTCCGCCCACACCCACCCCGGCCGCCTCCTCCCTCTCCTCTCTTACCTCTGTACGCTCCCTCCTCGCCTCTTTTTCAGGGATTAAATCGGGATTTTGTGATTCCTTATCATCATCACCATCTGGTGGTGGAGTCAGTCTGTAATGATAGCCGTTGATGGGTTTCTCTGCCGCAATTACGACTATTTGATGGGTACGTCGATTTGGAAGGTAGGTGGTTTTCCTTTTAGTATTGTAGTTAGTTCTATTCCCGCCGCTGCTGAACAAAGTATAAAGCGGTCTACAGCATCTATACCTGTCGGGGGTGCAATCTTATTTCTTCCCCCTCCCCTCCCCCGTCGTTCTCCCTCC